TTTCGTCTAGTCAACTACTATCGTATTTTCCATCGTTTATGCACTTTAAATCGCGACGAGCTCATTACGCAAACACCAGTCAGTATTAGGAGATCTGAGAGACTTAATGTTAATCTGAATCCTTTGCGGGTCGTTGTACCGTTTACCACTCTAACTAATGTTCAGTATTCCTTTTTCTATTCTACTTCTTCTGATTGGAATAATCTACCATCGCATGTTGCTTCAGCACCTACTGTGAAATCTTTTAAAAGCAATCTAAAATTGTACTTGAGTTTATTCTAATCTGTTATCTACGTATGTGTTATTCTTCTATCAGGTGTATGTCTACTACAACTCTTTTGTTGTTGTTGTTACAAGCCCTCATGCTTTTTGATGTACCTCCTTTGACACACTGTAACATCTTTTATTATTACTTTTTGTTTGTTGTCAATAAATATAAAAGAAAGCAAGAATCCAAGTCAATGATTGAACTTAACTTTTGAAAATTTTAAAAACATCCTTACCGTTTCGAAACTTGGCCTATTTTATCATTTTTGAAATCTCCGAATTCAAAGTGTAGCTTACTTAATGTTTTTGGTACTTTTAAGCGCTTCAAATCTGCTAAAGCATGATATTCTACCATTGATAAACTCAGTTCTTCAAGTTGTGGCATTAGCTTGAATAATACTGCTAATGCTTCAACCTTCTGTAAAATCCCTGAGAGACGTCTAACAGCAGACATTTCTGAAGGACCATGAAAGCTAAGGATCGTTTAGAGCGGGGCGAAGACTTGAAAATTTTGACAATCTACGAGTGGAAGAAAAGTACGTTGTCTGAAGCCATAGAAAGTGAAAGTTCAGTTAATGAAGAAATTGATAAAGCTTCGAGAAGAAATTGATTTAGTTCCTTTTCATAATAATCATAGCCGAACACACCCTCTTTTTCGTCTTCAAGTACAAGTGACTCTAAATTAATTAGCTGATGAACATAGGGTTGAAGCAATTTAAATTGCTGGTATCCAGTGAGTTTAAGTGTTTTTGCAACAATTTATTTTGCTTAAATTACAAAACTGGAAAGTTTTTCCGCTCTATATTAAAGTTTTTCTTAATCATTTGATACCTTCATTCATATGTAATGGTTTTCACACCACACTTTTATTGTTGTTTAAGTTTTGCTGACGAATACACTTTTCGATCAATTTAGCATGCCCATTAATTGTTGCATGATTAAATAGAATTCCTATGTTTGACTTGAACGAATATTTCGACTGATATTCATTATACAACTTTGTCAATGATAATGAATTTTCACCCAATGAAAAGAAGTTTGTATTCAACGATATTCGCTCTTTGTTCAACAGTTGACACCATGTGTCGTGAATTTGCCATTGCAATTCTGTCTGTGGTTCACAATATTCGTCTTCGTTAAACTGTTGATTTAGATCAGGTAAAACCAGTTGTTTTCGATCGACTTTTCCACTTGCATTCAATGGCAGTTTGTCGAGTATAATGAATAATGATGGAATCATATAGCGTGGAAGTTGTGATTGACAATATTGTCTAATTGACGATGATTCAGTAATCGTTGACGCCTCGATATAGGCAAGCAAATGTTCCTGTTGTTGATTATTCGTATATTTAACAACCACGCAGTTGTCAATGCTGGACGATGATCTTAAAATTGTTTGTTCAATCTCACCGATCTCAACACGTTGTCCTCTCAATTTTATTTGAAAATCTCGTCGGTCAACATAAACCATTTCGCCATTGTCGTTTAGTTTTATTAAATCGCCAGTCCGATAACATTGTTCACCATTTATGTTCACGAAAGATTGTTTTGTTAAATCTGGTCGATTGAAATAGCCGAGAAACACGCCTGGTCCACCAATGTACAACTCACCTATTTGATTCGAGGGTATAACAGGCTCAAGATAGTCATCAAGCACGTAGCAATGATAATTGTGTAATGGACGTCCGATCGGTATTGGTGTATTCAAATGTGATTTTAAATCTTCAGTCGTAATCACATGGCCAGTAGTACAAATTGTACATTCAGTAGGACCATATAAGTTAAATATTTTACATTTATTTTGTGGTGCAACAAAAGGCAATAATTGAGTTATTGTCTTCGAATATAGTTTTTCACCTACAAATAAAACACAAAGAACTAAATATCACTTGAGTATCCCTAGCATGATTGAACATACCACCCAGTCTCCACCATCGAATAGTATCAAATCGTTCGTATTTATTTATTATCCAAAATTCACATAATGTATGACAATACGTTGGCACGGTATCCATTTGTGTTATTTGATGACTCTTGATCGTTGCTGACAAATAATGTAAATCGAATAGACCATTCGGATGCAATAAAACCAATTGATAACCAACAATAAGTGAACCTAAGATTTCAGTAATGTGAACATCAAATGAACATTGAGATAATTGCAATAAAACCTCACTATCAGCCGGCATTTGCTGTTTAATATTTGATCCAATGATAAAATTGGCGAAGTTTATGTGACTGATTATAACACCTTTTGGATGACCGGTTGAGCCAGATGTGAATATCAAATATGCCTGATCATTCATACTCACATGCACAGTGGATAAAAGAGATAAATGTTGATCTGTGATTTTCCCCAAGTTTTCAATCAGTGATTCAATATTTATCGCAGCAATGTTGCTCTGAGCGAATTTTTCCTGTGTTTTATGATGAACCAAGATCGTTTCAGCTTGAACATCGGCAACCAGTGAAAGTAAACGTTGCTGTGGATCTTGTGGTGATAAGGGACAGTATGTAGCACCACATGTAAGAATTGTTAGGATACCAATAACCATTTCAATGGATTGATCCAAACATTGACAAATGATTTGTTGTGGTTTAACATTGTAGTCGTTCATCAGGCTCAAGGACATCAATTGTACGTAGTAGAGTAATTCACAATACGTCAGTAATTGTTCGTCTAATACGACACTTACTTTCTGTGGATGATGTTGAACTTTATAAGCAAACTGTTGGTGAATACATTGTTGTTGTTCACATGTGGCATCCGTAATATTCAATTCATTTATTAAATTGACTTCGTGTGGTAGAAGAATTGACAATTTATACAAAGACTTGTCAATGGATGAGGGCGATGAAAACAATTGTTTTAAAAGCATATAAAATCGATGTGAAATGAGTTCAACTGTGAAATGCTCAAATAAATCTAGACTGTACTCGAGTGTAAAACAGAGTGTAGTATCAACAGGTTCATAGTCAATTGATAATGTCAGATCGAATTTGGATATGCCAGCGGTTTTATTTTCCTCATCGTGTATATTAAATTCACTCAAAACAGTATTGTCATCCAAATCCAACTGAAAATGATTGCTTGGCTCTTCAGTGTATATGAACGCTGTTCGTACAAACGGAAGTAGAACTAATGATGATTGTTGTTGACGATGTAAATCGATTATTTGTTGATATGGCATGTAACAATGTTCTATCGATTGTATATACAAATGTCTGACTTGTGCGATAAGATCATGAAACGATTGTCGTGGATCAATATGTAAACGCAGAGGTAAAAGGTTAGTAAACATGCCGATGATAAATTGTAATTCTGGTCGATAACGGTTGTCAGGGAATATCCCCACACACAAGTCTTGATCTTGTGTCTGTTTAAATAAATACGCGTAATACGATGATAAACACAATTGATAAAGTGACACGTTCATTTCAGACGCATGGGCAATCATCGATTCAACAAGTAATGTGTCGAATTTGAAAGTGACCGTTGCTCCAATACCCGTTCGTTGTTCCTGTTGTTCGTGTCTGTGATCATATGGTAAAGTGAATTGTTTATCGATATTGTAACCATCTAACAACTGCTGCCAATAATGTTTAGCATCACTCATATTCATTTGTCGTTCATAGATTGAGTAATCAATATATTGTATTTGTCGCTGATGTCCTTCATAGATGGTATTCGTGTAAGCCAAATGTAAATATTGTGGAAACAAACGATACTGGGAGTAGCCATCGAATGCCGAATGATGAATATTAAACAGGAGTAAATCATTTTGATTTAGTAGATCATCATTGCTGTTGCTACTGTCTGATCGACGAATCAAATGACAACGAAATACTCGACCTTGTTCCAGATCGAATAAACTGCTATTGGTTTTTTCATTTTTCATAATTTCTTTTATTTCTCGTTCGCTTTTTATTGTTGAAAGTTGAAACGAATAAACTGAATCCTTCAACGGTACAATTTCCTGTTTCAAGTACTGTTGTTCAGTATCGTAAGATAATGATGTTCGAAGTATCGAATGTTCGTCGACCATTATCGATAGTGCCTGACGCACACGTTCAACGGATACCGATCCACATTTAACTTTATAACACAATGGAAGATTGTACATTGCTATTTTCTTCATTTCATTACGTCCGTTAAATCGAATTTGCTCATCGAACCAAATTCGTTCTTGTCCATATGATGCTCGACCTGCAGGAAAGTACAGCAGATATTGAGCATTATGTTTCTGTAGTTTTACCTTGAGTAATTCCTAATGATGTCCATTTTTCTTTGCTGCTGTTGCTGTCTTCTATGTGGTTTGCTTGAGCACGCATATTTGTGTATAATCAAATCAATAAATAGATCGATGACGTTTATGTCTAAGATTCTATAAAACGTGATATAGTCCTAATCGAATTTGAGAGAGAGCCCATCACAAAACCGACATGAAAAGAGAATAATGGTCGGAGCTAACAGTCTTTTTTGCTTTTAGTATTCTAGTTCAAAAGAGCTCATCAAAAAACTAAGAAAATTCCAGATATCTCGCCTTTGTGTACTAAGGCAAGATATTGGATTTCTTAGTTTTTTGATCAGCTCTTTCGAGCTAGAATACTAAGAACAAAGAAAAGTTTTAGCTCCGGCTGGTGTTGTTAGTATTCTCGCGCTAGGTCTCTTAATACCTACCACAGGTATGGATCGTCATTCTATTTCTTACTTGAATTGATTTTACCACATGCGTACAATTATAGGTAAGAATTTCGGTAAAGAAGTCGTCTAAATCATGTACAAGCATAAAAATAGCTGGTATTTGTAAACAGGCACGAAGAGATTCACTTTCTCGTCGCCTCAATGAATATTTGATAGTGTTTGACTGTCAAGAATCACCTATTACTTTAATAACATTATTAGTATTCAAGGGCAACAATATAAATATGAAGTTTAGTGCAATTGCGGCTGAAACACCCTTAACTTTGTTTAACATGATTAAGAGTTTATTAATAAAAATATTTATTAAAACACGA